CCAAATATAAATGATTCGGACAAGATCCATGTCCAGGGAAGATCCATCCCTCAATATAATCAACTACGCTCACTGGGGGTGTGTATAGACTTCGGAGGGACTCCTTCAGCCCAAGCTCTATAATAAGCCAGATCCAGACATAAATCAACAAATATGCTGCGGCGTGCTGCCCGATCCCATAACTGTCACTCTCAATCAGGACCTCGGCCTCACTCAGTCATCAATTTCTCCAGTCTCTCTCTCTCGGGCTCACAATGTGGTGAAACTAGTCCAAAATGATGATATGATACATCAATAAATAGCAACGGAGACTGAAATATGATTTGCAAAGAATAAACATGACTGAGAACGAAATTTTAATGTAATCATTAAGTCAACAACAAGGAAACGACCACTATGGGTCCCCAAAAATACTAGTAATAGCCTAAACATGATTTCTAGCATGATTGACAACTCAATTACTTTATTACATGATGAAAATACGGATATCAACAAGATAAATCCATTGTACAGTTTCATGAAATCGACCGGGTCACAGTTTGTATGGTGCACACCCACACACCTATCACTTGACATGTGCGTCACCTCAACATCAATTACATAACACATAACTCGGGGTTTTGAACCCTTAAGTTTAGAAGTGTTACTTACCTCAATCCAAGCAAATCTCTACTCCAACACACCCTTGCCTCGCGAAACGGCCTCCGAATACCTCGAATCTAGCCATAAATAATTCAATATAATCAATATGGTCTAAAGGAATCAACTCTATAAGAAAATGCTGAGTTATTAATCAAAAGTCAAAAATCGACTCAAAAGTCGGGTCCCGGGCCCACGTCTCGAAATCCGTTAAAAGTCACGAAACCCAAAAGCTCATTCAACCACGAGCCTAACCATATCAAATTTATCAAAATTCGACACTAAATCGTCACCCAAATCCCCAAATCAAACTCTCCAAATTTCTAGCCTCAAACTCCCAAGTTTCACCTTAAATACACACAAACTAGGTAGAAAAATCAATGGGGAAACAAGATTATTGATCAAAAATGAGCACAAGGGACTTACCTCAAGAAACCCCTCGAAAGTCCTCTCAAGAATCGCCCAAACCCGTGCTTGAAATGTTTGAAATGAAGCCAAAATCGTGAACCCTTATTTTAAATAATCTGCCCAGGCTTTCCGCTTTTGCAGATACATAACCGCATCAGCGGCGTCGCAGAAGCGACAATCCACCTGCTTCTGTGGTGAACCACTGGAGCTGGGCCTCCCCTTCTGTGGTCCTATCCCCCGCATCTGCGCAATGACATGTGCGGAAACATCATCGCACCTGCGCACTAACCGCTTCTGCGCCCTTCACGTCGCACCTGCGACCACAGTTCTCCCCAATCTTGGCTGCATCTGCGTATCCTCAGCTCGCACCTACGATCAAAGCTCCGCATGTGCGATTACACCAGCAGAATCCTTGCTTCAGCCATCTCTCAACTTCAACTTTTGATCCGTTAACCGTCAGGAATCAACCCGAGGCCCTCGAGATCTCAACCAATCATACCAACAAGTCCTAAAACCTCATACGAACTTAGTCGAGCCCTCAAATCACATCAAACAACTTCAAAAACACGAATCGTATCCCAATTCAAGCCTAATGAAACTAAGGAAATCCAACTTCTACAAACGATGCCGAAACCTATCAAATCACGTCCGATTGACCCCAAAATTTGCGCACAAGTCACAAATGACATAACGGATCTACTCCGACTTCCGAAATCGGAATTCGACCTCGATATAAAAAAGTCCACTCCCAGTCAAAATTTTCAAAAATTTAACTTTCGTCATTTCAAGCCTAATACCATTACGGACCTGCAATTCACAATACGGACACGTTCCTAAGTCCAAAATCACCCAACGGAGCTAACAGAACCATCAAAACTCCATTCCAGAGTCGTTCACACATAAATCAATATCCGATCAACCATTTCAAGTTAAGTTCCGAACTTTGAGACTAAGTGACTTATTTCATTCTGAAATCCTTCCGTACCCGAACCGACTACCCCGACAAGTCACATAACAACTATAAAGTACAAAATGAGCAGCAAATGGGGAAATGGGGCTACAACTCTTAAAACGACCAGACGGGTCATTATATTTATATTTAATTCCATTATACAATTGAAATAAAAATATACTTATTTTTAAGAGACTTATCATATATGCCTCTTACTCTGACACATGTCCATTGTACTATGTTGCCTCACATTTGAGTGAGGTGAATGCCATGTGGCATGCCACCTCACCACCCTAATAGCTAGAATTTGAATTTGTAAAGATTTTATATATAACTTGAATACAATTTTTGTTGTACAAAATTCGACCAAAGCTATAATTTACATACAACTTGTATATATTTTTTTGTGCACAATCCGGTCAAAAATCTATAATTTACATACAGTTTATTTTGTATACAATTATGTTAGTTGTATATATTTTGTATATTATTTGTACACTCCGCATACAGAATATATACAGTTTATTTATGTCTTTTTTTCCGAGTTTCAATCTGAAATTCCAACAAAAAACAACCTGAATCTTCACCAAATTCTCTTAAAATTGAGATATAAACTCTAACCGTTACTCAATCCAAACAAATAATAATTTCACAAAATTTGATTTTTGAATTCAAAGCTTCAAATTTTTTTATAGTTGCCATTTTTCTACTGTTTCAAAATAACTAACCCAACAAATTCGTCTCTATTACATCGGTGGGTTTACCATGAGTCCTCTCAATCCGATAAGAGGTCTATTTCTTTCGCAGGTCTGTTCATTCATTCTTTTCCTTCAAACTTTTTTGTTTTTCATTTTTTGTTATTGCTATGTGTTTTTAGAGAAATTAGATGCTGAGTGAAACTGACTGGTGCAGAGTTGATGGTGAAAGAATTTTATGGATCGTCAATGAATTTGAAGAGGTTTGAATTTGGAGAAAGAAGAAGAAGGAGATAAAATGGGTAAGATTCTAATACATTATTTTGTATATAAACAGTAAAAGTGTATATGCTAATGTAATAAAGTGATAACCTCTCTTGAGGGTAAATAGTTTATACTGCAGTATAGATAGGTAAATGTGATGATCCAGTCCAAAAAATGAAATAGCGTGATCAAGTTAGCGGATAAACATAATACGACTAGCTATCAAGTTATGCATTTCAAGTTCTTTTTAATGTTTGAAGTCAACTCTCAAAATGCAGTCTACTGTTGGCACTAAGAAAATGTAATACATCAAAAATTGAGTGTTATCTCACATGTAGAACTATTATAATGTATCTCATATGTGGAAACTTAAAGATTTTTATTAAATCATCCGCTTCTACTTACATTCACAAACAAGAATTAAAAACTTTTGCTTACCGTTTACCTTCACGAACCTGCTCTGTCCAAAAAGAATTTTGTCTACAGTTTTAAGAAACCTTCTTGATTAGGATTTAGGTCTAATACTTCCAATAATTGTAAGAACAAATTCAGAAAACCTGTGGTGGCCCCATAGCTAGTTGATTATGAACCAAATAGAAAAAGATATCATTCACAGTATTATCTAATAAATTATAGTTGTGTAAGAATGATGGATAATAAGAATAAGGAAGAAGTACTTTTTTCCAAATGTAGATAAGTGGCTTCTTACCCTTTAATATTGGTTTAGGAGTCATAGAATTTTCTCTTTCGCTCGTTGGTTTGATCATTTCAATAATTATGCAATGGAAGTATGTAAAGGATCTGCTATTAATTTTATCTGAATCATTTCAATGATATTTTGAGCTATTTTCAGGATAAAACTTAACCTGACATAAGATTTAGACAAAGCTGAAAGTCATAGGCATAACCTGTTAAATTTGGACTCCATTCACGTATTTGAATTATAGTCCTACTGCACAGTTTATGGCAGTATTCATATACGCTCCATATACAATACATATAGAGAGAAAGAGACATGACATTGATGTATAATCAATCGCTTGAAGATTGTATATTTCTAACATAACTACAAAACTGTGTATATATAATTTACAGTGTATAGAATAACAACTGCCAGATTAGCAAAAGAAAACATTGAGTAGCGAGCTTCTAGATCTAATCAGGCATCTAAATGTTGCTTCCAATCCAT